AAAAAAAAGAAAAAAAGAGTGACCAAAGCCATTCCAAACATTATTGACCAATGTGACTAGGCACTGCTCTTCTTCTTAAGACATTATCAAACTACAGAAGCCAGTTTCTTACCTTTTGTACTTTTCAAGAAGATTCTTGGCTTGCTCTTCAGCAAACAGAATCCCAGCAGGGCAGTCTGGGAAATCACCTGGGATGTAAGGAGACCTTTTATACTGAGAATGCACTGTAGCCTCTTTTAATCCTCCGACTCTTGCACCTCGATAGATCTAAAGGAAATGTCAAAAAAGATCTTGTCAATAACCAGCTTAAAGTGAAATTGCTTAATCGTTTATATGAGGAAAATGGGAAACAATCTAAATGCCCATTGATTAAGAAAATGGAGAAATACATTGTGGAGAAATCCTACCATGGGTTACTGTACAATAGTAAAAATGAGTAAAATACAGTTTTACCAATCAACATGGAAAAATCTCAATGTTGAGTGAATATAGCAAGTTGCAAAAGCATATATACGATGAAGTATGTAAAGTTAAAAAACATGTCAAATACAGTAAAGCCTTGGATTGTGAGTAACATGGTTTGCGAGTGTTCTGCAAGACGAGCAAACATTTCTAATACATATTAACATGGTAAACAAGCGATGGCTTGCAATACGAGTAGTTTGTTTCCGGAACAAATTATGCTCACAAACCAAGGTATTACTGTAGTTATTTTATTTTGGGATATAAGCCTACTTTATAAAGCTATAAAAACATGCATGGTTGTGACAAATACCAAAAACAGCAACAGTGATTCTTTTAGAAAGGGGGAGGGAAATGGAATTGGAGAGGGAATACAGAGTGCTTCCAATGAATCTATAATGTTTTATTTCTTAAACTGGATGGTGGGTAAAGGATATAGTACACAGACATTCATTACATCAATATCTATACTTTTTGTATGCTTGAAGCATTGCGCAATTTTAAAATAAGAATTATTTAAAAATATTCCCACTCCTAAATGATCAGCTGAATGTCCCTTGCACTAGGCATAATCACTAAAATTAACTACCTGCTAAAATTAATGAATCCAACAGTCTTACATGTCTTTTATACTCTCTAGCTCAAAGTAATATTTAAACTAAGCAAAAACCCCCAAAACTCTACATATTAGATTTTAATAAAATACTTAGCTGCAGTTAATAAATAAGAATATGTCAGCACTTAGAAAACAAAAAATGTTTTCTATACATCCATAAAAATTAGAAAATTATAAAGATTGCTTTTCAACTAACAAATTTCTTTAAGAAAAAAAATAAAACCTCAACATTTTGTTGCTACTACTATTGAAAAATCAGGCCACTTTTAAAACCTCAAAAATTCACAATATGTCAGCACAACTCTTATTACTAAAAGCCTGGTTCCAGGGACTTCATGAAGTATCTTGTATCAGGACTATAGCTCTAAGGGCACAAAAATAGCACTCAATTTCTAAATTGTGCCTGAAAGTGGAACATTTTCAGCACTTGGTGTTTATTAGGAATGTATTTTAAATGCTGCAGCTCTTAGTCAGAATCAAAAAGTAACCTACCAATGGAACCCAGAAAGCCATGCCCCAGCCCTTTGGGAGCAGGACATCCCAGCCACTTCCCCAGCCTCGTCGGTCATCACCAGTCACTTTCCCTGGCTGTTGAATCAAAAGTAGAGGTATCTTGGATTCATGGGGACCTAAAACAAGCTGTGACCCGGGCACCAGCAATTCACTTCTCTTCTGGTTTAAATCCTAAAGTGGAAGAAAATAATTCAAGACAAACAACCCTAGTCTTATGGGAGATTTTACTGGATCTCCCTATAAGCAGCTTTAGAAAGTTACACGCTGTTTTAAAAAGCAAGGGAAAAAAATGTTCTTAATAAATAAACGTGAGCCACTTAAACGTGAGCCAATTGTCCTCTGTACAAGTGCTTTGGTAGAAAATGCCAAATTATCTTAAATTTGGGCTAGAATATACTAGATGATTCAAAGTTATAAAATAATATACATTCATTC